TTCGTTCCCAGGCTAGAAGCAAGGTGACTATAGCAGTTACAGGCCTCACATCTCTGCATGAAATCAATAGAACAGAGGAGATCACATTATAATTTAGGATATTTATTTCCCAGAAGGCCCCCAGAATTTTTCTGTTTGTCTTGGTCATTCCAGAAACAAATTCTATGGCTAAGAGAGTGTCAAGCATGGGCTGGCTTTGGCCTGAGTTCCTTAATCCATCACCTTTTAACAAAGTAGGCCCACTTCTAGAGCAGTGTAAGGTCAACTTCCCCAGGAGCATGTGGGTATAAAAGGAAAAATGGAAATCTGTATTAAAAATCTGAGCACTGCTAGGAATAGATAGTCATTCAAAATACCTACTACAAGAAGCCTATGAAAGAATCACCAGCCTTGAGGAATGGTGCTAATGGAGCCCAAGGCATTTGGAAGCAAGGACTGTGTGGATAGATATTATTCAAAGACCTGCTAAATCCCTCTCTGGGTATGTAGAATAAGGAGGACCTTAAAACTTAGCAATAAAGCCATTGATGGTTCTACTGGTATCTTGGATTATCCAAAAGGCCACATACTTAGAGGGTTTGGAGGAGCCTCAGTGATTGACCCTGGCCAAATTACAAGCCACAGTCTGGCCAGCTCTACCCCTTGGGCCCCATAAGTCAGAAAGAAAATGAGACTTGAGGACACTGTGACTTTTGCTTCTCTCACCAAGACAATTTGAAGGGATAGGGAGGAATGGCAGATCCTAGAAGATAAAATATAACAGAAGTATATGGGATGTTGGGGTAAGGCAACGCTTCCAGCAGCTGAAATGTATATTGTTTTTGAAAGATAATTGCTGGCTTATCACTAGACGCCAGTGGAGAGAGTCACCAGAGGTTCCTGGGTTGTTTTGTAAATTGGAACCCTCCGTCTCACATAGCAATGAAGCCTAACAGTCTTTGATTATTAAATGGAAGGGAGAAAAAATAATCTAAGAAGGATAAGAGATGGCTATGTGAGTTAATTGTACAAGAAACATCCTTGACCCTGAGCCTCACTTTCAGCTGCCGGACAAACTGGGGCATCCTCCAGGGACTTAACCTTGAATCAAAAGTAACAATGGGCAGCAAAGCAGAACCACCTTTTAACAGGGAATGAGCCTCAGTGGACAGGCACTACCTTCCACCCTTTGTCATAGACATCCTGTCTACGGAAGGAGTATGGCCATTCCACACAATGAGAGAGCTCTGTGCCACTGGTGATTAAAAGAGCTGTAAGTTTGGGGCGTCAGGCAGTGAAGGGCAGGAAAAAACAATTTTACCAACCAAGTAGATCCAGCAATATGCCATGCATGAATGTTTTGGCCGAGGTACACTGTACACATCAGAGCACCATGCACTTGAGATGAGAGCAAGGTTGGCAGGATCCCAGACATATGGAGTATGTAATTGCTGCTGGAGCCGATTGTCAGGATGTGGGAGTTGGGATCCCCTGAAAAAATGTCCTGGAACATTCCAAAAGGCAAAAAGCCTAGAAGCAGTTACTGAATAGACTCTATTGAACCTCTTTCTGTAATCTGAAGAATTTAATGGGCTCTGACAGGGAGGCCTTGCCTGAATTTGAGCTTGCATTCTTAGACAAATCATTGAGGAGCCACCATCAAAGCCACTGCAGCCCTCTACCTTAAGCTAAAATGGCATTTCTCAACTTCAGCCTCTGATCCAGGAACATGTTTTGCCACCCACATAATAAAGGGCAAGGCAGATCATTAGCTGTGCCCTACCTGTCATAGGCAGCCCTGTATACTGAGAGATAGAATGGAGCACTGAAGATGAGCTTGACCAAGATGCCATGGGTAGCAATTTCAGACCAGTAGTGACTTACAGGAAATTGTATATAGCTAGATTCCTGCAATGACTTTTATCTTAGTACAGACATGCCCCTGTGTATCTAGGGCTGGGCTCAAGGAAGGAGAATTCATTATGATCCACCCACTATCTACCACAACTGGGAAATAATATGACTTGTAAGATTTAGCACTACATTAGTTGGGTGGTATTTAGTTATGAGATTTTGTTTGAAAAATAACTATCATTTGTTTGGTGTCTAAAAAAGAGATAGTAGCTAATCAATTCAATAAGTGAGCCTGCTAGCATTGCCTCTTCCAATCCACCCCACTGTGAGGCAGCTGGCATGATTCAGTGACATTGCACAACACAAAGTACCCCACTGAATATTTCTTGTCCTGTTTAGATTCAGTGGATTTCAGAAACAGAAGAGAAGGCTCTCAAAACCAGACCATACATATATATAATGCATTCACTAAGCCAGCCAGGTCTGGCAGTTGAGAGGAAAAGGGAGAAATATTTTAATAGGTCTGCAAGCTTACCCATCTAATCCAAGGGTGAGAATGTGAACAAAAAAGAGGGGATATGTAGTAAAACTGACAAGCTCAGGGGGGCCACATGTCAGGCTTGATAAGCTCAGTGACCAAAAGTAACCACACATGATGGTCTGATCACAAATTCCTAACTGAGCAGGTCATAGTGGGTAGGCACGACCCAGGCCCATAGCTTCCTTAGCAAAAGTCAATTTTTACCTTAATCGAGTCCTGTGCATTGTTTTTACACATCTAGAATAACATACCTTTGAAATATTAGAGTAATTTTCTTTTCTAGACCCCCTCCAAGGCACAACTGCAGGCACCAGAGCACAAGACCACCAGAGCATAAACCCACAGAACCCCTTATTGTTAGCCTGTTCCCCACATACCATCTCTATGTGCTGTAAATGTTAATTATTAACTATCTTATACCCACCAATGTAAAATAAGGACGTATTTCTCCATTTTGCTTTTTATCCAATCCTAGAGATTTCTCAGCTTTGCTTTCTCCCATCTCCTTAACCTACCGCCAATGGGTTTCATGCACCTTCCTTACATTTCTCCTTTGAGTCTAAATACATAAAAGGAACTGTAAAACTGCTGTTCTTTGGAGCATTTTCTCAATTGGTTGAGATCTTGCTTCATGACATGTCCTTAAAACTTGGCTCAAATAAACGCTTATAAAACTTTTCTATAGGTTTGGACATTTGTTCATCAATGAGAATGGTCCCTGAGGCTGGTACCTCAGCTTTTTGGTATCAAAACTCCATCCACTTAAGTGTGATGGTATCACGGTAACCAACCGAGTCCCCTGGAGACTATGTACTATGCAAAGTCAGTACACCACTGGCTATTCTGCATGCCTGTTTGTAGGAGCTACAGCTTAATCATGA